CCGATTGCTTTGCCAAACCCCTCATCTCTCGTGCACATTCATAATCCATCACATCTTTATCCACCCGGACTAGGATTATAACATAATTAGCTAGGATGATCTGACGATCTCCTCGTTTGTGTGCGGCCTCCTGCGGGGTTGAATACCGTATAATCTGTTGATGGTCGGTGGTCAGCCTAATGCTAGATAATAAAAGCCTCCAACGGCGGAGGGAAATTACACTTGCGGCTTTGGCGATCAAGCAGCCATCAAGATCTTTAGCTAATACGACCACATAACTGTCTCTTTTTTATTTTTTTCCGGCGCTCTACGGGAATACTTTTTTCGTGGGTAGCAATTGTACTGTACTTCACATGCGGAATGTTCGGCTAACTTACGGTCTCGGCAGGCAAGACGGATGGATCACTCTTGGCCGGTGGTATGTTGTACGAGGATCAAATCCTAGGGTATAACGATATACAGTAATACTAATAAGAGGTAAAAAGTACACTTTTAACCTCCCTAATTACGTTCAAAAATATGCTGTTCCACAGATATACAGTAATCTGTCCAAAGGCGGCAAGACGATATCTACTGTCCTGTATCACAAGGTTTTTAACATAGTTCTCCAGGTCTAGTACAGAATAAACTTTATTGAATAGCTAGTCCATCGCAGGCGATCATTCCTGATATCTCCATTGGTATTTAACGGCTTTCCCGTTCCGTACCACATATTATCGGGTCAAGAAAGCCTCCCGTCATAGGAGTGACCACAGCGGGGATGGCTGATGAGATCGTCATGGAGCAGTAATATCCTTAGACCCCTAGAACAATGTTTGGCTTTGAATCAGTCTCTTTTAAGTGCGGCAGGATATTTTATGCCCTAAATAAATACCTATACTTTTGCTTCTAGCCCAAAATGTACAGTAGGATCCTTCGGTCACATCATACACCAGCGTATAATCAATACCATTGGCAACCCGTTCGGATTTGGCAAAGCTCCACCATCTATAGCGTCATAGCTCTTGATGTCCTCTGTAAGGGAGATCAAGATATGATAATGCGCTGTTCATGTCGCAATTTGTCCCCCCGAGTCGTGTGTGGCCTTTCCCAAATCTTCTTCTTTGCCTCGTAGGGAGGATCATGCATGCAGTATGTCAGGTGAAGCATCTTAGGGCAGTCTTGGTATCTCTGTTATTCGTTGGATTAGGGTGGAATTTTGAGGATGATCGACGTTCTATACCCGGAAGGGGATGCTCGTTCTCGTTTCCACCAATAGTCGGCGTGATGGGGCCATTACGCCCCGCAAAGACTACGACCGTCAGATGATACCTGATACGTACTGATACCGCTCTGATTTGTCCATTACTACTAAGTTAGCTGTATTGTTGCTGTATTGCAGAGTTGGATATTTGACCATAATAAAACATCCTATGTACAAGATATCACAGCGTTCTCCCTGGCAGGTAAATCTACCATCGGCCCAAGGTTAAGTATTTAAGCTTGTCGCTTGAGAAAGTATGTTCGGCAAAGACAAGCTGCATACCAGGGCTCCGTAGGTTCAGCGACTATTCTGCAACCCCAACAATACACCCTAGCCCCAGCATTCTTCCCCTATGTCTTAATCAATCAATCGATTTCATCTCTCTATAATCCACTATTGTATACAATTTTGCGGTCATATTCGATGCAGGATACTAACTATAGTATCATCTCCACAACCACTAGTATCTGACCGTCTGTGAAAAGCGCTAGTCTCTCGAGTACAATAGGAGTAACTCAGCTACTATCTGTCTGATATCTTCGCATTGGTGTAGCAATACGCTTATTATTAGGTATATAGGGGGCCAGTTTTCCATTTCTGGCCCCACGACAAACATTAGTACCGGTCTGGATGGTCTGGATTACGGGCCGCAAGTAGATTGATTTGACTACTATGTTAGGGAATATACTAATTGTCGAGACTTTAGTGGTTTGCTAGCCCTACCATCAAGGAGGAACCTGGTTCGTAGCAATATGACGTGAGAAAGAATGGCCCGCAAGACGAGGTCCATACTACAAGTATGCTAGATATCAACGATCGTAAGGTTGTATGTAATGAACCAATATCCTTACTAGAGGGAGGTATATGCATCCTACCTAATCCGTAATCGATTATACATTGTTCTAGTTGCGGAAAACATGCATTAAGCAATCTACTAAGCAATCAATATAAAAGCAAATTGGCTACTAGTATACGTAGTCATGGGGGTCATTGGAAACCACCGAATATATCTGCTATACACTGTAAACTAAGCAGCCCAACCTAGTTTCTGACAGCATAATTAGCAAGATGGCGGCACACGTAATACAAGAGAGAAGACAGGCAGCGAATACACAATTCTAAGACATAATAGAATGAGACCGCCATAAGCCATTCAGCCACATCAGTACAATAATCAAGAACACAGGAAACACTACCGCATTCCATACCCGAAAAAAAAAAAACGCCAAGAGCCGACATTTTTTTGACCGGTGGCAGACTGACTGTTTTGACTTTCATCTCGCAACTAGCTTTAGGCTGTCGATCATTTCACAATTTGAGGACCAGGGAACCCTGGCTCAGAATCACGTTTCCAGCATGCACCCCTCTCAAGATGCTCCAGCGCATCCACTACAAAAGTCTGACCCATTGTTCCCAATCAAGTATCACTACTGTCATACGATGCAAAAATCTGCTTTCAGGCATCACAGCCGGCAATTGACACATGTGTTTTCTATACGCTATTAGATAAAATTATAAAATTTCTCCCAATGGAGCCAATCAGTAGGCGTCCCTGGGAGAAAAAGGGTCTTTCCTCGGCTTGGGCCCGAGCCAAGGGCCGGGGCTGGGCCGAACACTAGTACTATTTTCATTTCAATGCCAGAGGAGAGAGGGAACTACTAAGGTAATGATCGATGGTTTTGGGGAGCTTTTTGTACAGCAAAAATTTTTTCCAGTTCTACTTGCGCTAGATTAGTTATATAGGGAGGCTACCGACAGGAACCTACTACCTACAATACCGAGGCCTCCTGGGCCACTTGGTGAGCAAGCTTTTTCTTGGCTCGGAAAGAACACCGCCACCTGAAGAAGATAGATTACAGATCTTGTATCGTCGTATTCGTTTCCGATGGATACATGTGGCCCCCCTGTACGTACGATACAATACAAAATGACAAAACTTGATATATATACGCAGGTGTACAGCGGTTGCGTACATATATCCTGCTGAAATATAAGCAAGGTACTGTATGGACGCTGAACCACATCAAGTCGGGGGAAATTTTATTTCTTTGCGGACCCTGTATCTTCGACGGCGTCCTCGCGATCCCAACTCTCCATTTCCAACGTTCGCACCCTTGCTTCGATATCGAGGATCCGCTGCTGCCAGAATTTCTTTGCCTTCTCTTGAAGCTCCCAGGTGGATTTGAATTGCTCTAGCATGAATGGTGGCATGTCGGCCTTCTTTCCCCGCCTATAATCGTAAATTACCAGGTCTTCGTGGACACGGGCAGCTGGCCGTTGCTTCGCTTCTGATATAATTACGGCCTGCAGATGAAATGCATCTTTGTGCGAATGGGGAGAAGATGGGTCATGTGCTACTTTATGATAGACCGTGACCTCGTCGGGGTATTTCATGGGCTACATGGGAGACCCTCTCTGTTAGCAAACGTGATGTCGTACTTGGGGTTGAGGAGGGTCGTACGAATTTGTAATCGATCTTGATGCTCCTCAGAATGATTCCAATCCCGGTATTTCCGACAATATTCATCCATTCTTTCTTATGAGCCGGGTCTATATGTGTGGCAAAATTGCGAGTCATGTATACCCGGCCAGTTTCGGCGTATCGGACGTAGGTGACATTATTAACATGGCCTAAGCAGAATAATTAGGATTTGGAAGTTGCGACGAAGACGACACCATTGACGCTTATACATACCCTGATAAGAAGTCAGCCAATGTACCGAATGGTCGCAAAGTTTGGATATGAGCTCTATCAACTTACCATGGTATCCTGTGATCCATCAAATGTCCTGTATTAGCACAAGTACATTATGCCAGATATAAGGTATATTCGCCCTACCATCTCTCCCCAAGCAACACTCTGCCGGAACAGGCCCCTTCTTGTCGCATCTGTTAAGTAACCTTCACTCCCAGCTATCAACTCACGCCAATCTCTCGTAATCTGTTGCAATATCTTCCCAGCTTCTTGAACTTGTGTCGGCTTTAGGCCAAACATCATGCATCTGCCCAATCTCCTCTTTGTCATGGTAAGCCATCGGGGATCGATCTTGCGGGGTTGGAGTGCGGCAGTTTTAGATGAATCGGCATTTCGTGCTGCAGAGGCTGATGTCGATAGGGTACGAGTACAAAGGTACGAGTATTCTGAAGTAAGTGCAGTAAAGCACCGCCTCCTTATTGCGTGAATCGGGGTCATTTTTAAGCAATTGAGCTTCAATATGTAGTGGTTGGAGATGTTTTGGAAAGCTCCGGCTGCAACTCCGGCTATAGGAGCAGTGGAGTAAGCCTAGGTTGGGTGGGTCCCCAACCCCAATATAAGGCAATTCGGGAAGTAAAAGGTTTCTTGGTTCACAGTGCCATTTCTCCAACGCCAACGCCAAATCCACTTTCATATGGACCATTGTATATTGTATTGATTCTACATGATAAAACCACTTCACTTCTCAGCTTTGTTTTTGGCATAACCCAAGCTGGTGAGAAATATGTGCTAAGCTACTAAGATGGAGAAATGGCTAGACTCTTGCCGTCCCCACTTACACATCGTCTAGAGAGATTAGTAGTTTGAAAATAGTGTGAAGATCCCTAGATTTATTATTATAATTTTGTTACTCAATCTGCCAAGTAATTCTCTTGATATTATATTCATCAAAGTGAGCGACAATAGTTGGAGATGTTTGCAAAACACGAAACAGGATGTCGGCCAGCGATCTCCATTCGAAGATGTGATGGGTAGCTGCTCTGGTTTAGTCTTAGACCCAGCTTAAAATTGACGACGACGACGAGACAGACTCCTCCTCAGTAGGGTCGAGTTCTTGCTCATACCCATCATCTTCACACTCTCCCAGTAATCATTGGTACCGTGGGTAGGGTCACTATCCTGAGCATCCTCTGCATCGCACAAGGAACCTTCGTCGCCCGCTCCATTGGGACCAGATACCTGGAAATACTCGCGGTCATTGGAGGCGGCGTCCTTCACCATGTTCTCTGCGGCCTCTGGAAGCCATCCGTTGATGAAATCTCCGTGGCTGCAGTATGAGGAGCCGCAGGCGAGTTCCAAGGGAGGGCTACCGGACCAGCCGTCTGGGAGGATTTTCCGCAAGTCGTAGCGGATAGAGAACCGGAGACGAGGGATACGCTTCATTCCAATTGGGCAACGATTCTCACCATAGCCATCCACCCAATTGGGGTTGGCCGAGTAAGCATACTCCAGGGTGTCTGGGTTGGCACAGTCGGGAAAGAGGAGAAGAGTCTGCAGATGGTACTTGCACGTCTCGGTTGGGAAGGCTGCGTCGTCCTTCTCCTCTCCTGCCTGACTGTCGCAGAACCATTGAATACCAGCGTTGCCATCCACGCCGTCCTGAGACGTAGCAGTGGCATTGCCCGCGAGAAGTGTCATGTTCTGGGGGATGGCAATCTCGGCACTGCTGACGTCGACATAGTAGGCGCTGAATCGGAAGATGGGCACTGCAGTATAATTTGAACCATCGACATGGTAGAGGGTTGGAACCCCTGGGTGCATTCATTAGCTTCAGCATTCACATGCGGTACCGAATATACTTACAGTAGGTCGAATAATCGTTGGGGTTCTTGGCCGTGGAGCAGCCCTTTTGCAGCTCTTCAGATGTTTTAGTGTTGGCAGTGATAGCATCGGAGCCAAAGAAGCTATGCATATGGCTGGTGTATTTGCCAGGGACCACCAGAGGATCTATGTTTTTGAACATGAACAACCCAACATTTGTCACAGTGTAAGCTTGTGCGAGGCCCGCCGCCAGTGCGGACAGAACAATAGAGCGCATATTGAAGGAGCGACAAGATAAAATGAAAGACTGGATGTAAAAAAAAAAAGAATGAATGAATGAGCGATGGCAGTTGCACAGCACTTTACAGACTTCAGGATATTCCAGTTTTTATAGTATATATCCTACGTCCACGGTGCCCAGTCGGGTAGCTTCTCTTGGTACATCCTCCTTGGAGCTGTTGGGGTCATTATGGGCTGATTGATGGATAAGGATTAGGATAGCGCTACAATTTTCCCCAGTGATAGTCAGGATCCAGTGATACCATGAGGAACAACGGTCAGGGCTTTCAACCGTATCCGGCAATGATCACCTCACTGTCATGACGCGTTCTCGGTAGTCGTCGTGATAGCTGTTGAGATGGATCTAAGCGAGAGAAGTCAGTGTTTCACATTTGCCGCCGAACGACTGGGTTTGGTTTAAGGTTCCTCAGCTCTAGGGGCAACTGACTCGGTCGAGATCAATAGCCAAGGTGTTGGTCCTTGGAGATATATTAATTTACCCACCCAAGCGTCAAAAATCCGCGGCAGGGACCACATTGAGACATGGTTCCCTTCTCTCTTAAATCCCTGTCGAGTGTTCCCCTCTCCCCTTTCTCGTATTGACTTGCAAATGATATCTTTCCTTTTGCTTCCAGAATCTTTTCCTCCAAAGATAGAGTGGACTTCGCCATCAGCTGTGTGGAGACCCGCAACCAATCTAGTCTACTTCAGTATATACTCCCGGTCACAAAAGTTTGGGATCTTCCATATTACTAGGAAAAATTGGCTTGCAGTATATACATATAGCAACTTTAGATATTCAGGTGCCAATGAAGGGGGCTTTATGCAGGCGGAATTTACGATATCGCAAGAAAAATATGGTAATATTCACCAGTAGGCGCCTTGTAGGGTTTGCAGATGAGAACAAGGTTGTGGTGGGCTTGTGTGTTCATATCCATGGAGTAACCATGTTACCGTTGTAAAACACAAAGTAAAAAGAAGGGGGGCAAAAGAGAGAAAGAGAGAAAGAGAGATTTCGGCAGTAGAAGTGGATATTTCTATCCCCTGTGGAAACCAAGACATGATATTGTAATCACTATATTTTCCTGCTAACTATCCGATATTCTACCGTACGCCATTCGAGACCCCTAACATGGCTCTGTGAGCTTGACTGGTCCATGCGATGGAATATTAAATTCAGGGACTGCATCTCAGGAACTTGCTCCCCCCCACCACTCTTCCCCAGCATGTTTCAAGCTTTCATTGAGCAGAATTTAGGGTTATGTCGACCTGGTAGATAACTTTCGCCAATCGTAATGGCCAATAAAGTAGTAAAAAGGTAGTTACTGGATGAGCCTACTACTAGTAGTAGTACAATAAAGATGTTTGCTGTTTTTGTTATCCGTGCTACGACGTCACCGGGTAGCCCCGGCCAAGCGAAGTAAAACAAACATCAACTGCAGCCCATTTATCCCGCATCCTCAACACACCTTTCTCCTTCACAATCCCTCTTCCTTCCATCTTAATTTTCAACAATTCCTTCGAGCTCAAGTAGGTGAACAATGACGAATCCTGAACTTCGTCGGCAAGTAATCAATATATATAAAGGTTTGTATAGAAGCTTTACTTGAGCCTCCTGATTCAATCTACGATGCATGCTGGGTTGCGCTAATCTTGTGAGCGATAGAGTTACTCTTTCTCGGACGTAACTATCCACTGGGCTATGAATACTTTAGGAATAGACTGCACAAGGCGTTTGCCAGCCAGGCACATCTGAGGGACGATGAGCAGATACGGAAGGGTATAGCACGGGCGAATTTCGTGAAGAAAGGTATGTCCGTACAACAGAAGGTAATAACTTGAGTGTAGCTTACCTGATGAATTACAGAGATTGAGGCACTGTGAGTTTTCCTCATAACTTAAGTTTTTTGACTTTGGCCCCTTCAGCAACCTTCGATCACCATCTACGGCCACAGCGAGCCTACCAAGTCTATGGCAACATGCTAGCTTGTTTAAGACTCCGGTCTCAGGCTTTTTCCAGTCAATTATCATTATTCATCTATCATGCAATTGCCAAGAGAAACATTGACCATCTATACTAACGAAAAATGACCAGGTACTACTTGAAGCGATATCGCACGTTGAAACAGCGCTATGAAAATAATTAGGGCCAGCAAGGCAATGAGGAATCACGCCTTGACAGAAACGAAGTATACACATGGAAAATCAACATAAATGGGGTATCACCAATAGGAAGTGAGCAACGGGCTGCTCTGCTTTTTCTGCTTTTTCTTTGCTCGTCCACCCAAAAAAACCAGACACTTCTATGATTTCTTCGTGCTAGGGGTTTTCTTTTGACCCCACCAAGCACTCACTTCCAAACATTCGCCGTTTGCAAGGCCCCCTTTCTGGAACACATCGGCCATCATGGCTGTCCACCACCTATCCCATTCATCTCTACTCTTCCCGCTGGCCTCCATGAGGATAGGCTCCATGCCCTCGATCATCTGGATCACGGTCAAAAGAGCTGTGCGCCGGATAGACATTTGATCTGCCGTTAATTGCTTGCGCGCGCCGCCGCTAGAGTCCTTGCTTTCTCGTTCCCATCGTAAGTCGCCTAGCGGTATAGCAATTCGGCGGCTATCCACTTTCTCCAAGACGTCTACCTCGGAGTTGAAGGAAAGTCCAATCGTGGCACAAGGTAGTGCAGTGAGTTTGCGATGGTCGAATGCTTTCTCAGCCCAAGAATTGTAGTCTTGAAGGAACTTGTTCTGCACTCGTGTGAATGGGGTGGCAGGCGAAAATGTGTAGGTAGCGGTCGCATCCGCAATTTCTTGTTCTCTCGATGCTAATTTACGAGCGGGTGCAGGATTAGGGAGCAATGATCGGAACACCGAATCGGAGTCCCATACTTCCAGGACACCGCCCGGTTTGAGAACTCGCAATGGCTCGCTCAAGCCAGACGCCTGCTGTGCTGGACTGGAGGGGCACATCGACGCATCCTTAATGAAGACAAAATCGAAATAATCGTCGGGGAAAGGCAAACGAGGCTTCCGTAGATCATGGCGCTTAAATTGCCAATTGACACCCTTTTTGCGCAAGTCGGGCGCTAAGGAAACGAGGTCAATACCGTGGAAAGCAACATTGCGAGCGCCACGACGGGCGAAATAGTCATGAGACAAGCTTGACCAGAGACCCGATCCGCATGCGATTTCGAGGATACGCTGGGGAGGGCGATCAGCAAAGTATGGGTTGCAGAAAGGGCCTCCGAAAACACGCAGCAGCATTAGAGAGCGCAGTGTTTGGCGATGAATTTCCGGGAGATCGCATGGTAAAGGGTACAGACTTTCGGGGTCGCGCAAGTACGTGCGATCGCCCTGACGGATGAGAGGATAGTTCGTGTAGTCATTCAGGGAATTGAGCGAGGAAGTGGACGTCGCTGCTCTGGCAGGACCGGTTGAGCTTAGGATCGAATGCAGGTCGGAGCCAGAAGCTGCAGCGGGGGCGAAGGCCGCCGTGCTGACTGACATCATATCCATTTCTGAAACAAAATCCCCGTTCTCATCGGTCGAGCGTTAAGGTGGATCTGCCAGGGATGGTTTGCATTCTCGTGCACAGCAGGAGTCAGTAGTTCAAAGCATTGTACAATTATGGTTGGAACCGAACACGAGGGCGCTTAGAAATCGGAAAGAGAAAGTCCAAGGAGGGAAGGGAAGAAAAGAGCTATGTCAGGACGCAGTCCGACGCAGAGAATGATCCATGGAAGAGAGAGAAAGAGAGATCGAAAAGAGAGCGAGAAGGGGGGGGCAAGAAAAAAAGAGCATCGTGACAGGAAGACCACGGCCAAGTCCCGTCCCACGACCCCTAAAAGCGGCCTGTCCACTCCACTACGAACGGAGCCTACTCAATACTACTCTATATTGGGTTACGGAAGGTCTCGGTCTTGCATTCTTCTGCCTTATGATTTCTTCCGAGGCGGTCAATCGATGCGAGCACCGCTGGTGGTTCTTGACTGACTGGTCTCTTTTTTCGATTTTTGCCTCACACCACGGATACAACTGTTACAGACGGAGAAGAGCGACACTCCGTCCACTAGTGGCGGAAATCCTGCATGATGCCTCCCTGCAAAGCCGAGCACCCACCCCGCCACCGCCGCCGTGGATGGATCACCGGGTGTCTTGTTGTTTACGACTCGTACTCCGTAGTTCGTCTTGCGTTTCAGCTCCGAAGCCCCCTTGGTCTGTGATCAGTCTTAAAGTTCACGGAGTACATCTGTCAGGTCATGCGCATGAGAGTTCAAGAATTGACGATCGGAGAATCGGTTTGAAAATCGGTCGCAGTGGAACCGTCACACCAAACCGAAATTTTTGAACCGGACACCCAACCACCGTTGAGGTCTAGAAGCTAACGTAGGTACAGACTTTGATAGTGGCCACTAACTAATTACAGCTACTTTTGATTAGCTGTGGAGATTCGGTAGAACACAAGAGGGAACGGAAATGAATTAAAAATACAAGAAGAAAGCGTCGGCGAACCGTTTCTTTATGCTTTTTCTTGAACCGGGGAAATGTTCGTACTTCTTGACTTAATGATCTCATTGCTTCCCGATGCTGATGTAAAGTGGTTCTAGCGACGCTCAAGAACAGGTAAAAGTGACACGGAGGAGCATTGAATCGATGACAACATTCCCCATACGCCGGATGCTCCTCATTGGACTTCCACCGTATGGGGAATTTCGGGTGGCGGTCCGGTCTGGGAACAAATGCGATGCACGTGCTGGCACGGGTCACTGGGTGGCCTGAGGCCCTAGATACTTTGGCAATGGGGTATCGAGGCAGGCTAAATCACGTTGTTGTTTCAGGCAGAGAAGAATTGGGAGACGAGGGGTAAGTTCAACATGGTCTTGTCCTCAATTGACTTTTGAGGAGCCACCAAAGGAAAAATAAGAGTCCGCTCTATACCGGTTATGCAATACTCTGCCGTTTCTTGGCATCAAGCTATCGTTCTTGACTCAGCACTAAGCTCTCTTGAGTGCGGCAGAATAAGGGTGGAATGACGGATATAGCCTATATCTGCGGAAATTGATCTTATGTGGCATCGAAGAGGGTCGATGATGAGTGATCAAGAAGTTCCGGCGTAGGTTAGAACGGGCATTGCTGACCATTGAAGATGGCTTGATTTAAGGAATCAGTGTGATGATTGTGTTGCCATATGATGCACTTCGAAAATGATAGTCGGCCATGCTTGCGTGTCCTTTTGAGCAGAATATGTCTATAATTTTTTTTAATAGTAGAACTACTTAAGATTGATTTCGATTACTGCCTCTGATTGTATTCTCTACTGTTATTTTGGTGTACAACCTAGGATACCTTCGGCGTTAGAATTCCAATATAGATCGTAAGGTGATTGTGGAACCATTTCGAACTCATCTGCATTTGCAGGTTGATTCTTGACCTAGCATCAGCTGTCTGCCTGTGACATGTATGCAGGAACGTGAGGCACGCTAAATATATCTTCGAACTTGGGACATCTGTCGTTCAGGTAATAAAGGACAACCCAATTTCCAAGGCAACCACGACGACCAACAAAGGGAAGGGCCTTATCATTGGGCTTTGATACTAAGTCAGCGTTTGAGTCTTGCAGATTTAACTGCATAGTTTGAAAGGAAAGGTCACACAATATGGTTGCAGTTGACTTCATCCTTTGTTTAAAGACGGAGATTAAAGCACCATGCTATACTACTAGTATCGCCGCCACCTCCCCCCCCTAGTGGGTGATGGTTGGTTGATGGTTGGATAAACCCACATCCGTTTTTTTCTTCTTTTTTTTGTTTTCAAATCATGGGAGACTGGGATGTATTGTAGTGTCAGCTTGGAAGTAGAGCTGGTTGGCTAGAAAGGGTATATTGAGGGCTGGTAGCTATGAAGCCCGTTCCACCCGACTATTGGGGTGGAAGTGGATATATCGAGGTCAGCACTTCCAGACTTCATAGTAGGGTCCATGGAACCGGGAACAACAAAGGTCATTGTTCAAAGATGGATTCTGTTCATCATTAGAAACCAAATTTTGTTTAACAACCCCTACAATTCATGGATAAGGGACTGGTAGAAGAAGAGTCTTCTGGTCCGTCCGTGGTATATGGGTTCGTGGAGAAGGACTGGATTTGGCTGAAAGCGACAGTTTTGAGAAGAAACAAAATCCGGGCGTCTTGAAAGCGGTCTTGGCTGATCGGCGGCGGCGAATCACGCCCTCGGATGCCGTGACCACGTGATCTCAGCGACTCCCGCCTTGGATGCAAAGCACTTCGCAGCGTCAAAGCGACGAGGGATTCATCTCCACAAGCCTTTGGCGCCTCAGTTACATCTGTTCACCGATTTATACGCGCCGTTCGTCAAATAGTTTAAACCTCATTGTCCTTGGGGCCGCTGTTTAACTCCGCTCCAGGCTTCTCGCTAGACCGCCTCCCCCACTTGTTGCTCTGACTCGCTCGTCCGACGCCGGCCCCTATCGTTCGACCGTACGTCACCTGTGAGACTTCAAGACCTTCGGTTGCGACTGAGATTGACAGCAGACAATTTTGTAGTGGAATTGCTGCGGTTGTGATTTCCAGAGAGACACCTTGTTTCGGGGCGGTTCCGCTTCAGGACCCCATGTTGAAGAGAAGGAGAGAACGAACCCGGTCCCCGACTCCTCCTCTCTCTCCTGCCACTGCTCTGTCTCCAGCGTCGCTGATCCTCACTTTCCCCAAATCCCCCCCTCAAGCAAATAACTCACGGTCTCATCTGCCACGGTAAATGGCAGATGGTACCTACAGGTTCCAGCAGCCTGGGGCCGGGCAGTTCTTCTTTCAAACGCAACAACAACAACAACAACCTTCTCATCAACGACACCTTGCCCGGAACGGGACGAATTCTCCGACTGGAAGACTGAAATTTAGCCACGACACACCATCGCCTTCACGATCTCCTCCCCTTGGTCAGGCAGCTGCGCTCAACCCATTCACCATGTACAGTCAGACGCACCAAGGGCAGCATGTCCTGATGAATGGCGGCCAGGCTCACCAACGCTTCGGCATGCAGATGCCGAAGTTTCAATCCCAGAGTCACCATCCCCACCCTGCACAGCAAGCTCATCATCACACACACCACAACCAAGCCTCCCACAATATCAACCACCAGCACAACTTCTCCAGCGGGGCGTTGGCTGCCGCTACTCCCCACTTTACCCCGAGCCACATGCAAAATGGGGCTCATGCTAACGTTGACGAAGATATCGATGAATCCATGAATGAACATTGGCAACAACAGCTTCAGCTGGCCGCTGAATCGCGGCAGGCGAGTTCCCCGCATTACTATGCCCGCGCCGTCGCTCAACAGACGAAGGGCATTCAGATCGCTCCCAGTCAGCCTGAACCCCAGGAGAACGGAGGTGATGTGAAGAAGGGACTGACGAAAGTAAAAGCATCCCCAAGGCAGGGCTGGTATGCCCTCGATTTCGGCGGACAAGGACTCCGGGCACTCTCCACGTCTTTGTTCAGTTACGATTTCCTGAAAGAACTGTACCTAAACCACAACAAACTGAAGGCGCTACCCCAGACAATTGGCCAGCTGCGGAAACTGGAACACCTGGATCTCTCGGGCAATGACCTCACCGAACTTCCCGAGGAGATCGGCATGCTTACGAGCCTGAAGAAGTTTTACCTGTTCGATAACAATATTCGCACGCTTCCTTACGAAATGGGATACCTTTACCGGTTGGACACTTTGGGCATTGAGGGAAACCCATTGAACGATATTCTGAAGTCTCAGATTATGAAGGAGGGTACCAGAGCTCTGATAAAGTATCTGAGGGAAGAAATGCCAGGTTTGTGAAATCATTCAATACTGTCAATGGAAAGTCTAGTGTATATTGATGCTAACGAATGTGCCTTAGAAAACCCCCCTCCTCCGGACAGAGATTGGGTTATTCTTGATGAGACTGCAGGCACCTCCGCTGAGAAGATCACCGTCCTTTCCCACAACGCACTGTGCGATTCATCTGCAACACAGTCCCACTTCGGATATACCCCTTCTCGTGCCCTATCATGGGAGTTTAGAAGAGATCTCATCCTTAGCGAGCTAAGGTCTCACGACTCGGATATCGTTTGCCTTCAGGAAGTAGATCAAGGTAGTTACAACGGTTATTTCAGAGAACAATTGGCCTACAACGGGTACAAGGGTGTGTATTGGCCTCGAGGAAGAGCAATGGGCATGCAGGAGGAAGAAGCCAAGTCTGTCGATGGCTGTGCCACCTTCTTTAAGGGGACCAAATTTATTCTTCTTGACAAGCAGATGATCAACTTTGGCCAGACGGCAGTACGGAGACCTGATGCTAAGGGTCAGGATGATATCTACAACAGATTATGGCAGAAGGATCACATTGCAGTTGTTGTCTTCCTTGAAAACAGGCTAACGGGCTCGCGGTTCATCGTTGTGAACGCCCATCTCTATTGGGACCCGGCCTTCAAGGATGTCAAGTTGATCCAGACAGCTATTTTGATGGAAGAGATCACGAAGCTCTCCGAGACGTACGCAAAGTGGCCTGCGTGCACCGACAAGACGGCATTCCGCTTTTCAGAAGCGGAAGGTGGTGAAGCGCAAACTCCACCGGAACCCGCTCCATCCGTGGAGTATACCAGTGGCGATCAAATCCCTCTTTTCATGTGTGGAGATTTCAACTCATCGCCTGGGTCAGCGGCGTACAACCTGATTGCGAATGGACGGCTATCGGAAGCGCATCCGGATCTTGAGAAGCGACTTTACGGAAACTTGAGCCGGGTTGGTATGACCCACCCGTTCAAGTTGAAATCCGCATACAACTCGATCGGCGAGTTGAGTTTCACGAACTATACACCTGATTTTAAGGATATTCTGGATTATGTCTGGTTTACATCGAACACGCTTCATGTTTCGGCGTTACTCGGCGAGGTGGACAAGGACTATCTACAGAAGGTTCCCGGGTTCCCTAACTTTCATTTTCCTAGTGATCATATCGCATTATTTGCGGAGTTTGTTGTTAAAGGGAAAAAGGGAAAGGTGGTGGAGGCGGATTTTGGACCGCAACGGAATTGAGGGACGGTGCATGCTGAATCTTACGAGACTGGTGTTTGCGTAGCCGGTTTGTCTTGTTATCTCGGAATCTTTGGGGGCTTTTCACGTGTCTGTGGTGTTCGTCTAGTGCTTTTTCTTTGCTCATTTCCTCCTTTAACATTCTTGTGAGTCTTATCTGTTGTCATTGCTGTCGCCAGAAGGCGTTCATGCAATTGAACCTGCGTATCATTTTCTTGGAAAGTAGCTTTCAACGGCGCGGCTGTTTCATATCTTTCTCATTACATGTGCTAGGATCTTACTCTTTCCCTCGTGTCGAATTTCTACTCACATCTGTGGTTTTTTCTTCCATACTTGGTGTTGAGGGGCTGAAGGTCACCTGGCTTGGAGTAGTTGGGTCATGAAGATGTTTCTCTTCTTTGCAATGATTTCATTCTTAGGCGAATGGGGGTTTCTCTTTGATCGCTTGTTTTCATATAGCCCTGAGGCCTTACACAGCGTCTCCAGGTGAGTAGAGGACTGCCTATAAGTGTACTATGGATGCTCGATGTCGAGGTAAATTTTTCTTGATATATTAAACAGTGGCTCATTTGATATTTGGAATATTGCTAGCAATCAAGCATAGAGACGAGCTTTTGTTAAGGGACGTAGATGCATCTATCTTTACACGAGTCCTTGATATAATACAGCAGTGGTTGATGTTACAAACGGGGGTATCCAAACTAAAAGCGATTCACTGTTTCTGGGAATCCTCTATCCGTCTCCATATTCCAACAAACCCTCCACCTACTATACGGGATCCGACCTTCGGCCGGCAAACAAGCACACTATCTTCGTCCTTGGGCGCTTCCTCAGGGGTAGAGACACTCTCCACGGAACCTTCGTCAAGAGCCTCTCGATCCTGCTGGACAGACCCTTCGCTCGTTTCAGAGGACTCAGTCCATGACGAGGGATCCGCACGAGACTTCTTCACCGCAAAGCGGACGTCCCATTGACGTCCACTACTGATGCCGGGGCCAAGCTCAACGACCTTCTCTAGGATGAATGGCAACTTCTGCCGACGGATCAGGTCCACGCAATCGCCGATCTGGGTGATACTGGGCATGAAGACAGCGAGAACGCCGTTTTCCTTCAGGATCGGGGCCACGTGGGGGATGCGCTGGTGCGCGGCTGGCATGTCCAGAATCGCATATGAGAGGAACGGGTCGGCCGTTTTCTGCGTTAGCGATAGAAGACTAGTTGGGGTGCGAAGTCGTTTCTGCTCTGCTATCCAGTTTTCGACGTGGCCCACGTAGAAATCAACGTTGCCTGCATAGAGACCCCGTCGGAACCCGCGGACAGTTTTCTCGGCAAGGGCGGAGAATTTTGGAGATACGTCCACGGTATGGATTATGGCTCTGCGTTGAGTCCGCCAGGCATCCCATTGTTGTTGGGTTGGGTCGACGGGTGTTTCGTTATTGGGGGTGCTTTCTTTGTTCTTCCCTTCTGGTTCCTCGTCCGGTCGTACGGGTCGGCCTTGGAGGTATTGGATTTGGGATGGAGCTGGTAGCGGCGGGGGTGTTGGGTTTGCGGCTTGAATTGCGCGCGCCAGGTGCAGTGTTAGGGAACCATGACCAGTTCCGGACTCGAGGATTTCGAGAGGCCGTTGAGCGTATTCTTCTCCTTCTGCTGGAGGCGCTACGTGGATATCGAGTAGGGAAACGATGAGATTGGCGTCCGCGGCGTAGATCTACCGGCACAGTATTAACCATCTGGGCAGCAGCGGAGCTGTCAATGGTGAAAGATCGCATTCATACCGGTGTTACCAAGCGAGGCGTTAGGGCAACATATTCGTCCAGCGTAGGGAGTGTGAGTCGATATTCAGGGCCTGTAATCAGGGTGGGAAATGATGTTAGGCTTTGATTTGTCTTTTTCATGTCCGTTTGACCAACTGAGGTTGTGCTGACCTTTCTGCGCCTGAATTCGCTCGCGGACTCGCCGACCGATGATGTTGTTATGCTCTAGGTACCCACGCCGGAGATCTGTTTTCTGACCCTGCTGCAAGGGTTTCGTCAACGATGGGGTTTTGCCATGGACGATGGCTCGGTCTCCCTCTAATCATTCCAATTTGGTTATTAAGGGCGAACGTAGCAATGCGACGGGGCCGTGGAGAAGAAGCATACCTCGAAAAAAGGAGAAATCTGTATCGATAGACCTCCGGAACGTTGGGACTGGCTTGGGAGAAGTCAGTCCCAAGGCTCGCCGCAGCGATTGAAGCATACGAGCCATTCAATCTCAATTGGATTCAAATGGCTGTATGACGTGGGAAGATCTTATAGACTGGATCTGATGTTCTCTTCCCAGAATCCGTCTTCGGTTCGGCTAAAAGTGAAGGGACCCCAAAAAAAAAAACAGGCCCCATAAATCAGATAGCGTGATATCAAGATATTACATCAACGGGTAAATTTCTCTCTTTTTTTACTCCGCATAATTCCCAGAAACTGGTTTAGTGCGGTTTACTCCGTACTAAATAATAGTGAACGGCCGCTCAGGCACCACATTTGTTCAATCAGGCAACTTTAAACACTGAACGATGGCTGAACTACTACTAAACAGATCGAGTATAGCCACATCGCGGGGTTCTTGTCCTGGCGTCTCTTCCTTTTCCTCTTCACCGGTGGGATAACAATGAATGCCGTATCCTTTTAGCTTTACTTCCCTTCCAGATTATTTCTATTCCTATCTCTTTTTTTCTAAAAAAAAAAACATACATCTACCCAGGTATTCCCTGTTTTCACCGTCGCTTCTCTTAAAACAGCTTTTCTCCGTGTAATCACTCCCACACCGTCACCATGAGCGCTTCAAATCTCCCTTATATGAGGACTAACCCCAAGATCATCTTCTTCACGGACTTTGACGGGACCATTACACTCCAGGACAGCAATGACTTTTTGGTACTCGTCTTCCCAGAACCAGTTACAGGACTCCGAGCTAATTGGCCTTGACCTAGACTGACAACCTCGGTTATGGACAAGAAAAACGTCGTCAAGGGAACCTGGACGTCTTGGAGAACAAAGTTAGCTTTCGGTAAGTATCACGGTATAGGTAATCTCCTCGAGGCACAGTCTATTAACCCATCTGCTGTTAGTGATGCCTTCCGCGACATGCTAGACAGCGTCAAGGTTCCCTTCAATGAATGCATCGAGCAATTGAAAAAGAACATGCAGCTCGATCCATACTTTATCGAATTCTACCACTGGTCCAAAGAAAACAATGTGCCAATTGTAGTATTGTCATCCGGCATGACCCCGGTTATTAGCGCCCTTTTCGAAACTCTGCTAGGACATAAGCCCGATGACCACCTTGTTATTGTCGCCAACGATGTGGAAAGCCGCGATGGCAAGGATATTAACACTGAGGGTGGCTGGCAGATTAAGTATCATGATGATAGCCATTTCGGCCACGACAAATCCTTGGAGATTAAACCCTATGCCGCTCTGCCGGACAACGTGCGCCCGACCCTGTTGTATGCGGGAGACGGCGTCTCAGACTTGTCTGCTGCTTCGGAGACCGATCTTTTGTTTGCTAAGAAAGGAAGGGGTGCGTGTTTTTTCTTTAGGGTTTTCTTATTGCTTTTTTCCATCCTCTTCAGTGAGCTGACTATTCCTAGATCTGGTGACCTATTGTGAGCGTCAAGGCACACCTTTCGCCGTCTTTGAGAGCTGGTCCTCAATCCTCGCCACAACGAAAGATATCCTGAGCGGCAAGGTCACGATCAAGAAGGTGGCCCAGGAAGGACTTGAAACCGTCCACAAAGAGGGAAACTAAGGATAGATATCTGCCTGTGCTAACAGGGAGGCCGTTAGATTTATAAATATACATAGAGAGAGAGCCCCATAGATACTAAATCTGCCGTTGTATAACCATGAGATAGTGAGCACCCTGATTCATAGTAATTTCCTAATATTAGACGTCTGGCCACTGATGACCGGCCCACGGACCCACAGGGCTTTGATCGGCTCAGTCACGGTGGGCGTGACCGCCTTCTAGACTTGGCGGGATTTGCGGCGACCTTCAAAATACGGGGGAATTTCGGCTCCAGTTGAATTGCTTTATCCTCCATTTTACGGCCCCTTGAGATGACCTAGTGTTAGGTCTTCTCTGTGGCGAGCCCCAACTCTTCTTTTGCGGCTTGCTATACTTCATCATGCTTCAGCGCTCGGCAGTTTTTCATCGATTTGGAACTTGCCAGGGGTTTTCACTACCAACATGACACGCCGATTTGTATGGTCCCTCACATCGGTTTCTATAGCTTGTGTGCGATGTTTGGGTGTCTAACCTTTCGTCTTATAGGTTCGCGCGGGTGTACAACTCGCAGTATTTGCTGTTTGTATACTGGTTTTCGTCGTAACTCTAGATAACCGGTTTCGCGTCCTACCTGCCGCTATTCATGGCCACCTCCCTTCGCACTATTCAGGACTCGTCGTTACAGATGTCACTATAACATCGTGCTCGTATATCAATCCCTTCTCCAAATGCAAACCCATTTCGCAATCATGGACGCAAGTCGACAAGGATCTTTATTTGCGCACGGGTTGGACGTCCACCGCCTTTGTCCAATTTGAACGGAAAAGGGAGGAGGACCTACTTCCTACGGACAAAGTTGTGATCGATTTGAAGATTAGTCGGCTTGTTCCAGAGACCACTGAAGATACTAAGGATGGGGAGAAAGACGAAGCCACGTGGGAACCGAGACCAGGTGGCATTTGGCTGAGACGAACAGCCAAGCGCCACGCGAGTGATTCGCAGACTGCGATCACCTTAGTCGATGTCCTTTTCGGTGCCGATGCGGTGGATCCGCGGATTGGCTGGGAGGTCAGAGATACGCCACTGCTGCTAGATAGTCGGACGGAGGAGTTGGAAGCCCGTATCAGTGTTCAGAGGGGAGATCCGCAGAAGATGAAAAAACCAATCCCCAGGATCAATGAACATGGTCGCTTTAAGATTATGCAGCTGGCTGATTTGCATTTGAGCACCGGTCTTGGATTGTGCCGTGACCCTATCCCAGCGGAACCTGTTCCTGGCCAGAAGTGTGAGGCCGACCCGCGGACACTCGAGTTTGTGGAGAGGCTCCTTGATGAAGAGAAGCCCGATATGGTGGTCCTCACTGGCGATCAGGTAAATGGCGAAACCTCTAAGGATGCACAAAGTGCGCTTTTCAAGTCTGTCAAGCTGCTCGTGGATCGCAAAATCCCCTATGCAGCTATTTTTGGCAACCATGACGACGAAGGCAATCTCAACCGGTCGGAGCTTATGGCCATGTTAGAGCAACTGCCGTATTCATTGTCGTCGGCTGGCCCCGAGGATATTGACGGTGTTGGTAACTACATCGTCGAGGTTCTTGGTCGTGGTACTAGCGCACACTCAGCTTTGACTCTTTATCTTCTTGATTCGCATTCGTATTCGCCAGATGAACGACAATTTCGAGGTTATGACTGGATCAAACCCAACCAGATTCGCTGGTTCAAGAACACTGCCCAGGGCCTTAAGAGTAAACATCATGAATATGCGTACATGCACATGAACATGGCATTCATTCATATTCCGTTGCCCGAATACCGTGACCCAAATAACCTGTTCATTGGCAATTGGGACGAGCCCCCGACCGCTCCAGGATTCAATTCAGGGTTCAAGGATGCACTCGAAGAGGAGGGTATCCTTTTTGTTAGCTGTGGGCAGTAAGTTCAAACTTGTTTTGCCCAATCTGTGATGTCTTTGTTACTAATGAATGGACTTGTAGTGACCACGTCAATGACTACTGCATGCTTAACAATAACAAAGACGAAAAGCCGTCGCTCTGGATGTGTTATGGAGGAGGCGTTGGATTCGGAGGCTATGGAGGCTATAAAGATTATGTCCGGCGTGTGAGGTTCTTCGACTTTGACATGAATGCAGGGCGTGTTATGACTTATAAGCGACTTGAGTACGGCGAAACAGAGGCCAAGATTGATGAACAGATGATAGTTGACGGTGGTGCCGTAAGAGGACTGTCGTGAAAAGATGAACATCCACAGTGCTTTTCACATTCTGGATTTGAGAAAAAAACCTGTTGCCCCTCAGCTTCTTTGACTGAGTGGTCTAAACCTTACAACATATCATTATCAATGCTGGCATGCCCTCTGTTTCTTTCTATCCCCCACTCTTTTACATTCTACTCTTGTGTTGTTTATATTATCTTTATATAGTGTGAGGACGTCAACATATGCTGGCTCTGGAGGGCGTCGGCTGGGGAGTTTTGCTTCGCGGGGAACGGGACCAAAGGAATTATCAAAAGAATGCTATTCTTTGTTTGCTACTTGCCTTTCATACATATCCGCACCACCATCCATGTTCTTAAGAGCGCTGTGTAGGTTTCTCATGGGTTAATGAACCTCTTTAGATATTTCATAGGTGGTCGTATAGTGGGCTTAAAAGTGGTATTGATTATCTATAAGCTCCCTACCACCATTTCTCGAAGAAAACACGGTCACTTGCATCGCCTATGAGATCTCGAAGAGCAGCGACAAACTCATCAGTCATCGCAGGCGGACCGCACACATAACAAACTGTCTCCTCAGGCTGGATATCTCCATTCGGGCCAGCAAGAGCCGTACGCAGATCACCCTGATTGATCCTCCGTGGGTGAATACTCAAGTCATCGGGCTGTTCTAGTAGAAGTGGAGACGATGCATCTCGTAAGCTGGTAACAAACAGATCGAGAGTTATGCGTAACCGATGAGACTGAGACTGGGAACGACTGATCTGACGGAGACGAGAGAGGAAGAGGATCTGATCTAAGACGGATTCAGGAGCCTCTTGGGCTGTTGCTGTTGGGAGTTTAGTAGAATAGAGAAAGTGGATATTAAAAGGGTGATGTGAAGCTGGGGTCTCGTCGGCATTGTTATTTAAATGTGAGAGGATGGAGATTAATGGACTTGTGTTTTGGTTAGCATGTTGATATTGGAGTATACTGGATATATATTCCATGTTGCAGTCAGTAGCGCTGGGGACTTACTTGATACCCACTCCCCCAGCGATAAGAACCACGTTCTTGACCTTTTCGAGGTCTATCCCGGATGGAGGAGGCCAGACGAAGCTGCCTCCGACTCGGATGCAGAGCTCCTTTCCCAGAATTTCATTTTTGGGTTTCCAAAGCCAGGCACTGGCGGGATTGGAGAGTGCCTTTTGCACGGCTAGTTCGACGTACGGGTCTCTGCCTCTTGGGTCTACCGGAGGTAGACCTGTTTCCTCGTCTTCCACGGCAAGTGACTCCGCCGTGGGCTGTAGAGAGGGGAGGGGTTCAGCATCTGCTGGCGTTGAGGTGATACTAAAACCCCCGGCGTCGGATATAGACGGAATGTGCACATCTAGCCATTGACCAGGGGTGAAGGTGAATGGCTGAGGTTGATCAGACTGTTATGGTGTTAGTATATGCTCCAAGTAGCTGTGGCTCTTGAGAACATGGACAACTTGGTAGGACCCAAGTATCAGTGTCGGAGAACCGTTGCTACATCCGTGACAGAACTAATTGATTGGAAAGTAATAATTAATTGAAGATATTATACCTCTTCGTCATCCTGATTTGGTTCCTCTAGAGCTTGCACCCGCGGAGGGATGGTCAAGTGCAGCAGCCGTATGGTAGGATTGACCTCTTCGATATGTGATAGCCGCACATTGTACAGAATATTTTGCCGGGGTTCTGCTGCGGTGCGCAATTTATGAGGCACCGACGTCTTTTTACTGGCCAGGGAGCTCATTTCGTGCCGAATCACCGACGGACGGCGCTTATGCAACAGGTTGAGGTTGGGCGGTGGCTTATGGAGTTGGCGGCAACGCAAGAGTTGGAGGGGTCGCATGTGGTATCTAGTAAAGAGATATACCCACTTAGGAGCGCATTTGGTATGATTGGTACTGGAGCATTTAAGTTCCTCTTTTTCAAATCCCTGTAGAGATGTGTGATAGGAAAAGATGTGGGTTGATGTCGAACTTTGGAGGTCAAGTGACATTTACATTCAATGACGCTTTGTTACTAATACATACAATACAGACGCTTTTAACTCTAGATTACATTAAACCCACCTTTCATCCTTTTCACTTACTTCTATGTCAGAAAATGTTGTTACCATAAAATATTCTCAAATGAAGCAAGAAATGAGCACGATCTTTGGATACCTGGTGTCTTCCCTCACGCCTGGTTTTGTTATGCACGTGGAATCACAGAAGCACACTGGATAATGTTTAGACTCCCCACTCCAGCGCTTTGCTCTCTCACAGGACAGCCGAAGGAAACTATGAATCCCTGCGGCACTACGGACATATTCACAGACTAGCCAGTGGTGTCAGTCTGTTGCTCAACCATGCAGATCAATATCTCCATCACACGGCCTAGTGTGTGACGGCCGGCAGCCAATCTTCCACTTTAGCCATCTTATTGGTGATGAGCACCCGAGCCCCGGCTGGTGTTGGCGCTTCCCTGGCGGCAAGCATTGGCCAGATGCATCTCTAGGAAACAGTCAACTTGCGTTGCTCTAGAGTTTCTTTGGAGTTTTGTCGCCGACTCGAGGTGCTAGTGCCCCTCTTCTGATCCTCGCCATGGGCCATAGAGGTTGGCCCAGGCGACCTGGGAGCGCTCTACTCCATATTTACGGCGGCTTCGTCCCGGCTGATCCTCCAAACCTTTCTCTGATTGCTGTCTTCCTCCTGTCTCTTTGTGCTTTATGTGTTTGGCCGTCCGATGCGACTGAGTTGAATGCCCAGCCAGCCGGTCTGGCCACAGCGTAACTGTTCAAGGACACAAGCTCACAGCGCAAATTCTCTACCTACATTGTATACGCCACTGATCCACCGACCACGGGAACTTGTGCCTTCGCGGAAACAAGTATACAATCGGCATCATGGCTTACTTACCACGAAAATGGCGCAAACATAACCTTTTTTATATTCTGATGGCTATTGAGCTTCCCATTACTATTGTCATTCTCACATTCACTGGAATTGCTTCCCATGATCTATACCGGACCAAATTATGGCAAGATGGAGCAGATAATGGCTTCAACAGTTCTCCCGATGAGATTCTCTATGCTGCCGCGAATTATAGGCCCTATAAAGTTCCTATGGTCTGGGGCTCTTTGTATGTATTCATCCTTTACCTTACAATGATTCGGCCTGAATCATGCGACAATCACTAACAGCGTTGTAGCATAACGAATTACAATCTAGTCCTTGGTGTTTTGAGCACTTTCATTTTGATAACCAAACTCCCTCTCCATATCCTACGGATATTTTACCCGCCTTTGTCAGTGTTCGTCCACGTGGGACTGTTCATAGTATATATCGTGTCGGCCAGTTATCAAGCTGGTTCTGACAAGTCGGATCCTAAGCATCTACAATCAGGCCCGCCATGGTATCTTACGAAGTCATGCAGCGTTGCTTCGAATAAAGATAATATCGGATATTGCCGACAAGCCAAGGCGCTCTTTGGGTTTAGTATCATTATCATGTGGGTGGTACCTAACATTAAAATGAATATTTTGTCTCTTAGCCCTAATTAACTGATATATTATTCATAGTGTTCTTTATTTTGTCGAAATTATCGTGAGCGCCCACTCCTGCTTCTTGACCGAGGATGAAAAGGCAGAGCGCGACGAACGCCGTGAAGAAAAGAGAACCATGAAGGAGTACGAAGATATGGTTCTCAAGACCCCCCGAACGTTCCCCATGATGAGTCCCGCGCTGCCTTCAGGGAGTGCTACGCAGATGATGCCTACCATGTCGTCACGAAGCCCTGACTTCAGTACCTTCGGGAATGGATCGTCAGACCTTCCGCTCCGGGACCATTTCAGCACACCAAACCCTCGTCCACCAACACAGCAAGAGTCATCGGAAACCTTGGCACCGGGAAATCAACCTCAGATGTACTTTCCGCCACCTCCTAAGAAGGCGGCCAAGGTGTGAATGTACTTGGAAGTTTGTAAAACTGCCCTTGAAAATCTAATACCTACACGGTCATATGAGAGCCACTTATATTTCTATTTCAATTCCCGCTTAGCGATTGATTTGCATGAACCGGGTGTTTTTTTAGTCCCCGTTGGGGCACTTGCAAGGGGAACTCATGAGTGCTCACGTATTATGTTTGGACCTTTTCTGTTCATGTTGATTTTCTAGCTGTCATCTGTTCATTATACCATTATCGCGACAAGAGCACCTGCCATAGCTGATTGAATACAAAAAAGGATAGTAAACCGGAAGAGAGCCTTACTTATCCATAAGTCTCTTAAGTACCAAAACTTGGACCATGCATAACTCTCCCACAGCACAACCGCTGGAAAAAAATTGCCGTCACCATCGAACAAAGCCAGGATATACATTGCTCACGAAAAAGAAATAGCAGGACGGAGCAAAATGCAGGGGGGTATCGCCGCAGGAACATGTTTCGCAATGCAGGAACGAGGAGTACAATGTTACAAGTGTTGCCGATTCCACGTAGTGGTGGTGGCTAAATTTGATCTTGTCGTTTCTTTTCCTTTTTGGCCCAGCGTACTGGATATGCTATTAGTCTGGATACTTGCGACGAAGAGAAAGAAAGGGTGTATGGGCTGGCGACTTACATCCGCATGCATTACACAGAGTCTTGGGTCCCTCAGGTCCTTTTCTCCACTCAGGAGAGTCTGAGGTTCCACAATCGCTACACATATATTCACCTTTCTGTCTTTTCTTTCGATCGCTGTCCTGGATGACGCGGGCCTGCTGGTCTAGCTTGGCAGATTCCATATCATAGTGGATGAGGCGACCCTGGCGAATGCCAGTACTGAGTCCCTGGGAACGTTCACCATCACCGTAGTGTAGACCCGTCAGCATCTCGATTCCCTCAATATGAGACATGTCCTCCGCTTGGGCAAGTCTGTCAGCGACATTCTCCAGGTACGACCGGGAGTCGGGATCATCATTTGTGAGTGTGTCAGATGACTCGTTCTCATCACCAGACCCAGTGGTTTCGCGGAACGACGACTGATTGGAATGGGATCGGCTTGAATAGGAATTGTGGCGGGAGGTGGAATCGCCCGTGGAGTCGCCTGGATATAGCTGTTGGCCCGATGCCAGGTCTTCCTCCTCTTCCTGCCTTAGCTGTGCTATGCGCTGGTTGAGTCGCACGTTCTCGATTTTATGCTCCAGAAATGAGTCGACCAGCTGAGAGCCCCTCGTGGGATAAGGTCGGCACAGAAGAAAAACGCCAATGCAATCTTGATCTTGATTTTCAGAATTATCGTTCGGCTCGGAAATTTCCATATGCGGGTGGCCATGTGCCTCCAAGAGACAAGATGTATTGCTATTGTTGTCTTTCTTGCGAAACCGGAAATGGCAATACACTGGACGAGTCGTTGTGATACACTCTTTCATCTCCTCGGCAAATAGGGTCTTATCATCATTGTGTATAAAGCGCTCCAAGACGTTCTGCTGTAGTTGGTCTGCGTCGTAGCCGGTGATGGATTTGCAAGATGGCGATGCATATAAGATCTTACCGTCGGGGCTGAGAAGAAGTAGCATATCTTTCATCTCATTCAACACACGCTGTGGCCAACCCTGTTCATCCGCCGGGTCGGATGAGTTCTGCGCACCCGCATTGGCGGCCGGCGGTGGTGGAAGTTTTTGAACCTCTCTTGTAAAAGAATCATGATCCTCGGCCTGCATTCTGTGCTGATGATTCTGCGTTACCCCACTCTCGTGTTCGGCAGCGGTCCAATCCATCGTTGGCACCAGGGAAACCAACGATGTTTTTGCGGAGAGGAAATATTCTCTCGGACATGAGGAATGGCCACCGTGGGATCGCAAGATACACGAGCCACTAAGGCTGCGATAGAGCTGTCAATTCCGGTGCTGTATAACGACGCCGGAGGGCCCACTCGCCGCGCCAATGAGATATGGTCCACCGTTCAACAGGACCGGAAGTGCTCGACCAATGCTGGCACTCAGGGGTCCCAGGCACTGATGAGGATTCAATTGGTACAAACCAGCTGAAGCCCTTTGGCCATATGTGCGAGAGCCATCATTTCCTATCGTGGATAAGAGATACAGTACCTGAGCACATGACGGGGCGGCTATCGTCTGTCAAAAGTACTTCCTAAATTCAATTTAATTCCCGACGTTAGTCGGCATCGCCACCACGTGATCTCGCGCCGCTTCCCCGCGTCAGTTCTTAGTGTCCGTGACGCGCAGCATCAAGTGCCGAACGCTGACCTGTTTGTCCGACAACGCTGGTCGTGCAGTATCCCCAGGGCACCTAGGAAGAACGAGGTCATTTGAAAGATAAACGGGGGACTGACCTCATACTTCTAGCTCAACGTCGATTTCCCCACGAGCGGTTGCGCGCCACCCTCAAGATGTGAGTCGGGTGTTGTGGTCCTGTCCCCCGTCTTGCACTGACAAACTAGCAGGTGTAAGTGGTGCGGAGATCGACTGCGGGGCGATGAATCTAATATACTGACCCAAACCAGCGAAGATAGATAAGCTTTCAATTCTGGGGTAAGTATATTTCCCGAAGGATTCTCGTCACCGATCGCTGATTCATTGTTTTCCTTGCTTTAGAGTTCGCTCCTTCGACAACACCCGCAGCGAAACCATCCAGTTCCACACCCCCCTTACGTTGATCGTCGGATACAATGGATCAGGAAAGACAGTACGGAAATATTCAGACCAACTGAAGCAGCAACACTTCCACTAACCGGACCTTAGACGATTATCGAATGTCTCAAGTACGCCACCACTGGCGACCTCCCGCCAAATAGCAAGGGCGGTGCCTTCATCCATGACCCGAAACTATGTGGGGAGAAAGAAGTCTTGGCTCAAGTGAAGCTGTCATTCAAGGGCACATCGGGTGCTAAGATGGTATCTACACGGAGTCTACAACTCACCGTGAAGAAAACCACCCGGCAGCAGAAGACGCTAGAAGGTCAACTGCTGATGATCAAAGATGGTGAAAGGACAGCTATCTCGTCGAGAGTTGCGGAGCTGGATCAGATCATGCCTCAGTACCTTGGGGTCTCCAAAGCCATCTTAGATTCTGTAATTTTCTGCCACCAAGACGAGAGCTTGTGGCCTATGAGTGAACCTTCGGTCCTGAAGAAGAAGTTCGACGAGATCTTTGAAGCGATGAAGTACACAAAGGCTATTGATAATATCAAGGCTCTGAGGAAAAAGCAAAACGAAGAACTTGCCAAATACAAGATCATGGAACAACACGCCAAGGAGGACAAGGAGAAAGCGGACCGAGCAGAAAAGCGATCGATTAAGCTACAAGAAGAGATCGAAGCCTTACGTGATGACACACATCAGCTTTCTCAGGAGATGCGACGTGTCGCCGAGCTAGCCGATAAAGCCTGGCGAGAGTCGGAAAGTTACGCCCAAGTCCTTGGTACTCTGGAAGGAAAGCGTATTGAGGCAAAAAGTATTCAATCAACAATTGACAATTTGAAACGACACCTCGTCGAGCTTGACGATTCGGACGAATGGTTACAGGCAAATCTGGAACAGTTCGAGTCCAAGCAGCTTCAGTATGAACAGCAAGAAGAGGCGCAAAAGGAGAACTACATGGAGATCAAGGAGCAGATAGAGCGGACGCGGCAAAAATTAGGTGTCAAACAAGCAGAATACGGCAAGTTTGAGAATGACAAGGCCAATTTTGAGCGGCAGGTTGAACGGAGACAAAGGATGACCAAAGAAATCGCACGTAGCAACAATATTCGGGGGTTTGACAACATTCTGGACCAGGGTGATGTCGATGAATTCTTGAGGAAGGTCAGAAAGTTACTGAAAGATCAGAACCAGACCCTAGACCGAGTTAAGCGGGAGGCACAAGGCGAACTGCGCGAAGTGCAAACGGCTCTGAACGATATTGCACAGCAAAAGTCGGCATTGCAGGAAACCAAGAATGCTGCTAGGCGTCAGATGGCTGCGAATGACAAGGAATCGACCACCTATCAAGGAAAGCTTAATGAAATCAACGTAGATGAAGGGGTCCAAGCGGCGCTTGAAGCCAACATTGAAGACATTCAGTCGCACCTGAGTCAAGCTAAGGGGCGAGCAAAATCTGCTTCGTGGGACAAAGAGATCCACGACATCAATTCGGAGATCCGAGGCCTTGAAGATGAGAGTTCGCGCTTGAACTCGGAACTCATCGATGCGACTAAACGGGCCGGTGACTTGGCACGATTGGATCATCTAAAGAAGGAATTGAAGGAGCGGGAGCGCAGCCTGGAAACTATGAAGGGCGCTCACGGCGAACGTCTATCTAAACTCGTCAGCCAAGACTGGAAACCTGATACCCTGGAGCAAGAATTCCATAATGTGCTGGAAGAACAATCCAAGCAGGTGTCACGCGCTGAAAACGAACGAGATGGCGTCAGCAGGGAGCTGGAACAAGTGGAATTCAGACTTAAGAGTGCCAAGAAGATTTTAGGGCAACGACAGAAGGCGCTAAAAGAATGCATCGAGGAGATTCGTGAAGCTATCAATGACGAACCCGAGGAATTTCCTGAAGTTCTCAGGCAACGACAAGCACAGCTTGATATTGCAAGAAAAGATGCTGAGCAATATGCTGGAATCGGTGAGTATATGGCAACTTGTCTGGAAACTGTAAAACAGTCGAAGGTGTGTAGACTGTGCCATCGAGGCTTCAAGAATGATGCCGAGCTGCAGACCTTCAGAAACAAATTGGAAAATCTGGTTAAGAAGCTAAACGAGATGCCGATGATGAAGATGTGAAGAACTTAGAAGAGGATCTTGAGGCTGCACGCGCAGCCAGCACTTCTTACGATACATGGTCTCGCCTTCAGCAGACGGAAATCCCGGAGTTGGAAAAGGAAGAGGAACAATACGTATTGCAGCGTGATGAGCTCCTCAATCAGTTGGAGGACCGCGACAAGATTGTCAGCGAAAAAACTGAAAAGAAAAGAGATGTCGAAGCTCTCTCCAAAACTGTTAACACGGTCATCCGATATGATGGTGAATTAAAGTCCATCCGTTCCCAGATACAAGGCCTTTCCTCTAAACAGCAGGATACTACCTCTGCACGCACGCTCGAGGATATTCAAGATGAGATAGCGGCGATTGGTGAAAAGTCCAGGGCTTTGAAGAAGAACCTGTCGAAGCTCACACATGACAAAGAGCAGACACAGTCGGAGATCAATAACCTGGAATTGCAACTAAGAGACGTGAAGAGTAATCTCGACAATGCGAAATTTCAATTAGAAAGAAAGTCGGACCTGCTCACTCGTATTGAAGAATACAAAAATCTCAACAACCAACAACGAGAAACAATCGCAAAAGCTGATAGGGATATTGAGGATTTGACCCCTGAGCTTCTCAAGGTTCAGGCTAAGTACGATGATATTAGCCAGCGGGCCGAGGCACGCGAAAGAGACATGCAACAAACAATCTCTCAGATGTCGGAAAGTGTACATCAGCTGGAGCTGGCAAACGAAGAGATTGATGCATACAATGAACGGGGAGGTCCGACTCAACTGGAACGCAGTAAGCGCGAACTCGAGCAAATCGAGAAGCAGATTGGCCAGCTCGAAGCCGAGCAGGCGGATATCACGAAAGAGATTAATAAGATATCTTCCCAGCTGAAGGATAGCGAGAACACCAAGCGTCAATATGCGGATAATCTCACATATCGTCAAGCAACTAGGGCGCTTGATGAGGTCACACAAGAGATCGAACAGTTAGCAGCCCAGAACGCAGAGGTTGATCGGAGTCGGTTCAAAGACGAATCAGAACGTCGAACCCGCGAGCATAACGCACTGGCTGCAAAGCAAGCCAGCAGGATGGGTGAGATGAAATCTAAAGACGATCAACTGATGCAGCTTCTCGCAGACTGGAACACGGATTACAAAGATGCGGCGCCCAAATACAAGGAAGCACACATCAAGGTGGAGACTACTAAAGCTGCGGTGGATGACTTGGCTCGCTACGGAGGAGCCCTGGATAAAGCCATCATGAAATACCATGGCTTAAAGATGGAGGAGATCAATGCCATTATCGGAGAACTATGGCAGAAGACCTACCGAGGCACGGACGTTGATACTATCCTTATCCGCTCCGATAATGAAAATGCCAAGGGTAACCGGTCTTATAACTACCGAGTCTGTATGGTCAAGCAGGGTGCGGAAATGGATATGCGTGGACGCTGCAGTGCAGGGCAAAAGGTACTCGCAAGTATCATCATTCGCTTGGCTCTCGCAGAGTGCTTTGGTGTCAACTGCGGTCTCATCGCGCTTGACGAGCCGACAACGAATCTTGACCGGGACAATATCCGGTCCTTGGCCGAGTCACTACATGATATCATCCGCACTCGTCAGGCGCAGAGTAATTTCCAGCTCATTGTAATCACGCATGACGAGGAATTCCTGCGGTATATGCAGTGCGGCGACTTTAGCGATTACTACTACCGGGTGTCTCGAAATGAGAAGCAGAAGTCGATCATCGAGAGACAGTCAATCGCAGAGGTAGGCAGCGTTCACCATCGCTTTGGCGACTCTCATGCTAATGGATTGCTTGCAGGTTATGTAATTCGGAATGGACCGATGGGGTGGATTGCGGTGGTGTAACGGCTAAGGCGGGATGGGAACTTCACTTGATTATTTATCGAGGTGCGATGTAGTAACTAGATCATGGAACGTTTATTTACCTATATAACAATTTGAATTTACCAAATTGTTGCCATTTTGGGCCTCGAACGACGCCTTTTTTGGCCGTCATTTGGTAGCATATGACCTTTCCCTCTCACCACAACCTTGTCAGCTATTATTATATATCTAGACTCCCTTGTTCATGGCCCCACTGTGGATATTTCTACTCCTTCTCTATTTTTTGATAAGACTTATCTTCTGCTTTACTGTTGTGTCTGTAACTGCTGTTTTCTGAGAATACTAAGAATAGTCTTACAATACTCGACTATTTCGAAGCCGCGATAACAGTCTTTTATAAAGTGGCTCGGTAAGAAACTCGATAATACTCTAATGCTGGCCTCATCAAGTCAGGAAAACAGGGTATCTGAAAATCTATATATTATAGATATACTGGGGAATCCTTTTATGACTTTATATATATAGAAATGACAATTTTATGGCGTTTTTATTGAGCTATATAGAAAACATTACGTTGAGCCGTAGCCGACCCCTACTGAAAATGGGGGTCGGCGGTGAGATAGGTATATAATATAATATAAATAATATGTATAACTATAGTATAACTAATATCTTATTTTTCCCCCCTATCTTAAACCATCTGTAACTGTGAACAACTTATATTTACTAGTTAAATTGTCTTTTCGAATATTGGCGATTATTTTGGATAGTGATATTAATCCTCTGATCTTATCTGGAATACTATAGATTATTTCTTGATATATCTAGTATAAATGGTCATAGGATATGAAATTCTCTAATTTACTATAATAAATGCGGAGACAAGAAGGATATTACTGTAAATTAGGCCATTTTGACACTCGACAAGTCATACCACATCTGATTATAAACGCTGGACTAAATTGGTTTTTCTCCAAAGGCATCGTGCCCCGTATCATCTGTTTTTTTCATTCATTTTGCAGTCTTGGACACCACCTCTTTCCTCTCTTCCGCTATCTGGAGCCGCACGAATGCTTCAATTCAAATCACAATCGCTCAGAAAAGACCTATTACCAGAACAATAGTGGGAAGGAAAGATATCAATACGACTTGAAACATGATCAATTTATCTTGCGTTCATCCAATCCCCACTTCTTCTTCATCGTATCCGCCGGTACATCGTTTGCTATGTCTTGAACAATTTCCTCCAGAGGCAACCCTTTGATATCGTAATCCACCCCATCAAGCCTTAAAGCATCAACTTGGTGACATCTGCTGCCCTTCTTAGAGATGGGTTTAGCATTACTATTCTTGTCCATGTTCAAGTCCTGGCTGACGAATCTTTGGTTAGCTGATTACCCAAAAATTTGGGGGGTGGGAGGTATGGCCACCTTTTTTTTTTTTTAGTTTGAGAATATAAGAGGATTCAGTTCTGTTTAGGACGGGGGACAGACTGAGGCAAACTTATTTATATGAGCCTCGACTCCCGTGACTTCTACTAGTATAGTCAGATGAGTTTTTGCTTACTTCCCCTTTAGCCCATAAACTTGGCTTGATTTACCCTAAATTTATATATCTCTGACTGAGCGCACCTAACATAAAGAGCAAATTAACAGAAGTTAAAGCCGTGGATAACTCTATAATTATTGCGGAGAGTCCAATGAACCACTACATCGATCTCATATCACATATATAAATTCACCTGTACTACACAAGGCATGAACTATATACAATGACCAAGTCAAACAGTAAAACTTACCCAAACTCAAAAAAGTAAGAATCAAATCGTCAGTCACCAACATGTAGTCCATCAGTATTAGCTATCAACAAGCGTTCACATCCCTAGCGATAACCCCTTTGTCCTGGTCTAATGACCACTTCTGCAACAACTTATGACCCGGCAAGTCCGCTACAAGGTCGTCAACAAGCTCCTCCAGTGGAAGGTGCGAGATGTTGTAGTTATAACCACCGATTGTTAGCGTGTCAACTTTGTGAGGGGTTTGACACAAGGATGTGCTGTTATCTAGGACTTCACCAGCAGTCATCTTCTTCGCATGGTTGGGGCATGCACTGGAAGCACCAATGATCATTGCTGTCTCAAAGGGGACGTTGTGATAGCAGGCGTTGATTATTCCCGTGCTGGAACACCCAAGACAGTCGCCACTCGCGTCGGTCTCAAAGAAAGCCAGAACACCTGGAGGGCCAGCAGATGTTGCTCTAACCCAGTCAAAGTTCGCGCGGCCTGGCGGTGCCATGCAACAATCGAATGCTGGTTTGTTTAAGCAACCGAGAGCCGAGGTACAACATGGATGCTGATTCCCTCTAGGGTTGCTCCAGTACCGAATGCTAAATTGAGCTTGGATGCAGACCGTTATCATCAGAATAATGACAAAGAATCGAGGGGGTTGCATAATTCCTTGGGAGATAGGTAAAGAAATTACTAGATATAGCAGCGATATGTCTGAAGCCTGGGGGATATAAAGAAGTTGCCGTGAGTTGTAGTGTCCCGTCCTGGAAGTGAAGTCTTCTTTATACGTCAATTCAGTTGCTATTTGCACTGCTATTGTAGGTACTTCCTGTTACATTTGATTACAATAAGTCAACATAGAGCAATGCTCATTGGTCAATAATGACTTCACTATGCACCAGCCTCCCAGTTGAAACGCCTAGGGGGAATATCACGGCTTTCTCCTTCTGGTAAATCCGACCAACTGATCTTTTGATCATCTATAACTATACATTAGCTTCTAACGCATCTAAGATGGGGCCATTAGGGGCTGTCTAGCCACAGGGAAGAGGGAGAAATAGTCTCATGGAGAGCCCAAGATGGACTCTTTAAATCTATACTTCTTAGATCAATCCGACCCACACATATTATAATATTTTTAACCTGTGTTGTGTCTTTGTAGCTTGAGCCCAGGATTGCCACGTTTTTCTATGTTAAACATCTTACTTTGTTCTTTTCTCCGGGCTTTAAATGTTCAATGCCATTCTGATTCATTCTGAGGTAGGAGTTAAACCGGATAACACAGATATTGAATCTAGTAAAGGTTCTGCGGCACAGCACATTGCATAACTAAGGATCTTAGGCCTCTTTTTCTCGCCTTCATGTGATGCTTCATGACCAGAATTCCGGCTAGGGTCCTTTTTGGGGACTGGGGCAAGACTTTATTCCCCTATCACTATTTCTAACATTTGTTACATTGGGATACATGTACAGGGAAATATTCCTTCGATATATCATCGTTGGGAACCTCGCCACAGCTAGAGAAATACACGATGTAACATAACTAATATCCCTGTCGTTCATATGATGTAGTTTCAAGCCATGATAGGATACTGTTTTCGCACTATTGGCCGCATGGCCTACTAGCAGGCACTTCTATCCTATAGGATATGTCCACGTTACCAACCCATGAGCATGCCATTTCATACAGCGGGTTACAACTTTTGCACACGGATATCATAATGCTTCTAATCGATGATTCAGAGATACTATGAGATAATATTTTACCTACGCACATCTCGCGAATCCTAGATGTTGTATGATGTGACGATAGCCCATCAAGGCTCAGACCGGGCTCATATCCAGAGCAAATTACTAAAATATGGAGATTGGTTATAAATAGTACAATGACGACGATTGGAAACTGGCATCTCCAGCCGCTCTTGTCAGTACTCACTTTGGTTTACATCGTTCTTCTATTTACTTGTATCCTTCCTTCGGATTCAAGCTCCCCTCAATTCCGATATGTATCTATCTAAGCTCACAGGTGTGGAGACTTCCCAAGCACAGACTGAACAAAGATTAATATCTATAAAACAGCCATTCTAGCTTTCGCAGCCATCGCTGTGCAGGGTGCTGTTCTCAAAGACTTTTGTGAAGACCCGAACGGTAAAGAAGCTCTTTGGTTTTGTCTATGGAGTGTTCAAGATAAATAACCAATGTATCACAGGCAAGAAGTGTCCCGGCGACATAGCTTTTAATGGCCATGTACGCATGCTTCTACGCCCCCGTTGACCAGTGACAATCTCTTACAGTCCATAGTGTACCGCTGGTACTCAGTCTTGCTCTGATGGAGCCTATGTCTGCTCTTGCAACGTTAATAACAAGGTGAGCTGGCCATACTCCTAAGTTTCGCTAAAAGGATGGGACATTCTGATAAGGCGAAGTGCTTCGGGGATGGGCATGCATGTTGCTTTGCTCAAGGGGTGTGTAACTGTCAGTGTTAATTTGACAGAGGTTTAATATCTGGGTGATTCCAGCGAATAATATTCAGGAGGACATGCAACATTCATTTGTATATATATACTTCATTTCTATTCAAAAGTGTTATGGGTACTTATAGGTTTGCTTTGAGCTCCCTCATAACAGAAATAACACAACTTCTGGTCTACAAACATGAAAGTCGTTTCTCTTAGAATGTATATATACATTCTGTACATTTATCTAGACAACCTAAGGGCCACTTGTTTTGACTACATATTGTACCTCAAGGTACTATGCCCAAGTATGTCTCTCAACGCGTACAACGTCAGCTCACAAAACCTGTTCAACAGTTCAAGGTATTTTAGCGTTCCAATTTATCATATGCTCAAGTAGTCACAGGATAAATACTAAATCCAGACAGGGGAGTTGCTGAGAACAGCACCCCTCTGGTAAATGCAAATTGTACTGGAATAAATTGGCGAGAGACCCTCATGCACCATGTGACTTGCCCTGAGTCGGAGCCCTAACTTCCCAATGGAGGACGGCATCGGAGACGGCGAAACATACCCGATCCAGCCATCACGTTCAGAGAAAAACAGAAACCGCCAGGGAAGGGTCCAATCACAGGCTCGGAACCAGAAAGTCGACTTGACTGATGCATTAGGAATTCCTTCGAAAGTTGATTCCAGCCGTCGTGGATGAAGACTACTCTCTCATCCGGCCTTCTGCGCTCA